GTGGGAGACTCCCTCCTTCCACTGCAACTCTGCAGTTTAAGTGTTGTAGGAGCCAGGCATGTAGGCAGCCCAGCTCTTACTACTTTAAAATGCAGAGCCACAGAGGGGTTAACTCCTGAGAGCAGCGTGAGCCAGGACTAAGCAGTCCCACCTCTTGCTAGCTCCGGGACTGCTGTGCCTCTGCATTTTAAATGTAGCAAGAGCCCCACTCCCTCCTTCCACTGCAACTCTGCAGTTTAAGTGTTGTAGGAGCCAGGCATGTAGGCAGCCCAGCTCTTACTACTTTAAAATGCAGAGCCACAGAGGGGTTAACTCCTGAGAGCAGCGTGAGCCAGGACTAAGCAGTCCCACCTCTTGCTAGCTCCGGGACTGCTGTGCCTCTGCATTTTAAATGTAGCAAGAGCCCCAGCAGGCTCTTACTACATTTAAAATTCAGAGCTGCAGCGATCCTGGAGCCACTGCAACACAGGACTGCTTAGTCCCAGCAGCTACCCCCACTACCTCTGGCGGGCTCTTAATACATTTAGAATGCAGCGCTGCAGCAGAGATGGTGCTGGGGGAAACCAGGTTTTAAGCCAGCTCCTGCTCCCCCCTCCCTTGCTGTCTGACGCAGACAGCAAAGAGGGGGAAGCGGGTAGCTGACTAAACTACCCAGTTAACATAGGCTTATCGAGTAGTCAACTACTCCCTTACGTCCCTAGTTGTAATGTGAGTGATCCCTGCTAGTGAATAGAATGAGACCAAAATCCCTTCATCCACAAAATGCTACTTAGCGCAGCTCCAGTCATATTGGCAGGCAAAGCACTGTATGAATGCTGCTCCTCAAATGGCTCATGAATTGAGCGTCTGTATTAGTATTGCCCGTGGCCTGCAGCGGGGGAAACTAAGGTTCAAAGAGATTAAGGGTTTGTCTCCACTAGGGACAGTCGAACCACTGGCTGCTGCTTAGAGGCGATAGATCAATCCCAAAACGCTCGCCCATTGATGCTGGTACTCCACTAGAGCTAGTGTTGACAGAAGAGCAGCCCCCTGGCCTTACCACACACAAGATGCTGCCATTGACCCAGCTGCGCTATTTGCATAGGTGAAGTCACGTAGATTAGATTGACAGCGGGGGTTAGAGTAGACAAGGCCTAAGACCGTGGTCACCAACAGGTCGATCGCGAGGTGTCATTTCCCTCCCACCCCCACTACCTACCTCCAGTGAAAATGGAGGTAGTGTCGGCTTCCCGGACATGGACAGAAGTCCCGCAGCTTAGCGCCACTTGCGGCGATTCCAGAAGTAGCGCTAGTTGCTCTGCCGGGTGCACTGCGGGAGGGAGCATCGGCTCCCTGCACCGCACAGGAGGGGTGAGTCAGCCCCGGGGCAGGCACACGCTGGTTTCCCTCTGGGGGCGGGGGAATCCTGGGAGGAGGCAGATATAGGGGACTCTCTGCCTCCACTGGCACCCCACTCCCCAGCCACAGAAGTCCGTCCCCACAAAATGTATAATTATAAATGCTTCATTTTAGATTTAAATAGCATGAATAAAAAACATTTATTTCATAACTATAAACACATGATTTTAATTTTAAACATCGCATAATTTAAAAATAAACTGTTTATCAGAGTCTGTAAGTAAGGGCTGGGGATAGCAAGTGATGGACAGGAGGGGAATAGAGAGGGCGGGGCTTCAAGGAAGGGGCAGGCTGGTAGATCTTCGCCTGTTTGGAGATTTAAAAAGCGATCTCGGGTGTAAAAAGGTTGGAGACCACTGCTATAAGGTATATGGGCAAGGGGACACTAAGCACAATTACACTAGGCACAAGCGGTAAAATTAAAAGCGTCAGCTACACTGCGCAATAAGCACTTGGGCTAAGATGGTAGAAAAAGCTTAAAGAGCACCACTGAGGGCAGAAAAGAAGGGGAAGGAACAAGCGTGCCTATCCTGCATAACCGACACAATGGGGAGCAGAGCCCCAGAAGGCTATTCTTCACATTGGCCACTGGGGGGAAGCAGCAGGAAGTGTTTATCAGAGTGTGTAGGTAAGGGCTGGGGATGGCAAATGATGGACAGGAGGAGAATAGAAGGGGTGGGGCTTCAAGGAAGGGGCGGGGTGGTAGATCTTAAAAGGTGATCTTGGGTGTAAAGAGGTTGGAGACCACTGGCCTAAGAGACTTGATAAAAGCCAGCAAGGGATCCTATGGCAGAGCTGGGATTCTGGTGGTCTCCTGCTGTAACTGCTAGGTCATGGGGCTTGCTCCCTCTCTCTGGAGGGGTAGCTGAGTCTTATGAGAAATCTATTTCCTTAATATTTCAATATTTGGTTGGGTGAACATTTCCCTTCTCACCTAACATCTCTGCCTTCTGATTTCCCATTGAAAGAGCACCCCCGAGCCCTCTCCTCTCCCCAGAGTATGGGAGGATCCTCATTTATGGTAAATTCCCAGTGAAATTGCTGCTTTTGCGCTAATCCAGTCACAGCATCATGGTTGCATTTAGAAACTCCAGCCCAGCAGGTCTGTGTTCTGTGAACCATACGTACTTCCGAAGGTGCTGCTCTTCTAGTCCCTCCTTCCACGGCACCACTGAATGTTGGGGCTGTTCTCTTGGGCTGGCTTCCCCGGGCTCAAGGCAGACTGGGTCTGGAGAAAGGGGCCTGAAGCCTGGGAGAAGGGAGCTCTGGTTTCCATGAAGTCTGAATGGGCCCGTGCCCCGAGTACGACTGTACATTGCAAGCGCCAGGGATGCTGCTGTGAGCACTAGGCTGAGAAGTTGACTCATGCAGAGTCTCTCGTGGTGTGGGCCAAGGCAGAGTTGCAAAGTGCTGGGTTGCTTGGTGTGGCAAGTTGGAGTGGGGGTGGAAGGAGGATGGAGGGGGCAGGGGCCAGGCCTCAAATGCCGCTGTTTTTATTCCTAGTGTGATGCACAAGGACACAGACGCTCAAGAACTTTTGCACGTTGGCCAGATGTCATCCCGCAAAGGGTCAGCAACTAGCCAAGGAAATGGACTTTCCAGCAGCAGCCGAGACGGAGACGATTTGGAGCTGGCAGAGCTGGGGCCACTGTTAGAGGGGAAGGGAGCCCAGGGAGCCTCTGGCTCAGCCAGCGTAAGCCACAATCCCCTGGAATACTCTCATGTTAAACCCGCTAGGTGCTGTGTTTTCCTCTGAGCAGGCCCTGTAGTCTCCAGACGTACAGACCGAACTGCTCTTGGGTATATAGGCTCTCAACACTGTCCTGGCCGATTAACCCAGAAATCAGTCTGCAATCCCATTAGCAGCTTTGTGGGGCTTGGTGCTCCCTCCGATACACCAGCACCCTTCTTGTCCCTTTACACCAATGCACAGTGGAGGTGAAACTGGACTGAATCTGAAAGGTAGAATTTACACCCCCGCTGTGGTATTCACTGTTGACTTGTCCGAAAATTTGTCCTGGAAATTTTTACTCTGTTGCATAGAAAGTATCCTGGCATGAGCAAGAACCCCGGCTTGCTCCTGGCTTCTGGGGCAGGAGGGGAACTGAGCTCTGGCAGCTGCCAGCAAACCCTCCCCGTGTAGCATGAGCCAAGGAAGGCCTGCTGCACCCTTGCCAACACTCCTGCCCACAGGTGACAGCGGGTGTCACAGGGGCTCTAAGGAACATTCTTGCTGGTTCACCTGCTTTTGTGGCCCTTCAACTTAGTTGTCTAATCCTTGTTAGTGATGGGGGGGGGGGCAGAATGTCCCCAGCAGCCCGCGCCTGAGGCATGCAGTGCGAAGGGGCCACTCTGCTGCCAGGTGGCCTCTGTCCTGGGCTCCCTGTTGTGGCTGTGTCAGGCTGCATGCTGGGCAGTGAAGAAAGAAAATCTTCCACTCTAATCCTTGTTCTAAGCAAGACTGAATCTGGGATTAGCCCTTCTGTGTGAGGCTGAAGAGCACAATGGGGCGGCTCCCGCTTTTCCCCTCAGAAGGGCTGTAGCCTCTGTGTAGGCAAAGGGTTGGAATGTCCCTGCTGTTTCCTCAGTTCCTCACATCTTGATGTGCCAACTCTCTGGGGGGTTGTGCTTTGTCCCTGTAGGCCAAGGAGCAGCCATGCACAGCACCGCAGGAGGAGGAGGAGGAGGAGGAGGTGGTTCGCGTGTTGACTCTGCCACTGCAGGCTCATCACGCGATGGAGAAGATGGAGGAATTTGTGTATAAGGTATCGTCTCATGGGCACTCTGAATCCTGGGCAATGAGAGATGGCTTCCAGGGCTCTGGGCTGCTGTGCCTGAGTTTGAGGCATTGTATGGGTCTGCTTCGGGTTGATCTTGCCTGGAGGACTGTAGCCCAATGGGGCACAGAAACGGGGGTGGCCACTCTGACCCACGGCACAGCCCCCCCGTCTACAGTCAAATATGCCCGCCCTTGTTCCGGGCGGGCCGACAACATCCCTGAGAGCCGCCCTCTAGCCCCCCTGCGTCAAGGAGGGGAACAGGCAACATACCGTACAGGGAAGCAGCTATAAGACAGCCCTGGGTCAGGGAAGGGCTGCAATAAAGCAGTTTGTAAGAAGCTCCTCTGACCCACGGCACAGCCCCCCCGTCTACAGTCAAATATGCCCGCCCTTGTTCCGGGCGGGCCGACAACATCCCTGAGAGCCGCCCTCTAGCCCCCCTGCGTCAAGGAGGGGAACAGGCAACATACCGTACAGGGAAGCAGCTATAAGACAGCCCTGGGTCAGGGAAGGGCTGCAATAAAGCAGTTTGTAAGAAGCTCAAGGCCTGTTTGCAACAGCTCCAGGTGGGGGTCCGGCCGATGCAGGCGGCTGAATGCTAGGTCAGCGGTGGTCTGTACTGAAACCCACTGACCCTCTGCTAGCCAAGGTCGGCTATCCCTGGGCCGTTTCCATTTCCCCCCTCGGGTTGTACCTGGCTCCGGGGCAGGTCCTCAGGGCAGCGTGGGCTGGAGTCCTCTGGCCAGGTAAACAGACTCCAGGAGTGGGCCTGACAGCCCAGGCCAATCGTCAGCTTCCCCAGGGTCTAGCTCCTTCCTTGGTTGTGCTGGGGAGGCTTCTGGATTCCTTGCTGGCTGGGGCCTGACTGGCCTTTCTGGCAGGACTTTTATATCCCTGGTCCCGCCTCCTGGCTTCTGTCCAGGTGAGCTGGTAGGGCCAGGTGCTGCCCACCAAGGCTCAGGGAGGGGCTCATCCTGCTTGGGGTCAGTGGGTGGCCACTCTGACCCACTCCCAGGACACCATCAGTCTGGGTAACTAAATCCAGTGTGTTGCGGTTCTCATGGGCGGGAGCTAAGCCAAGAGCGTAATAGTGTCACCAGCAAGGCCAAGAGGCAGGTGACTGCCCTTAGCACCTTCCCACCCTGGCTCTCGGTGCCCCGAAGAAGCCCATTACAGCCAGCACTGACCCCAGGGGCATTTCGGAGGGTGCCAGGGGCCTGACAGGTGGAACAATCTGGGTGTATCTAGTGCATGTGGCAGCGAGGCCCCTCACATCTGGCAGCAGTAAACGTGGTGCAACCCCCTGCCCTAACCTAGCTCAGCAGAGCACTTCTGAGCCAGCTGGGTTTCAGCAAGCCCTGGGCACGGACACAAGCTCCTGAACTCTCTCACACACACACCTGTGGCGCTCTGGGAGGGAAGGGCTAAAAACGTCTCCGCCCACTGGGGGTTGGTCACCATGTCCCATGACAGCTGTCATGGCGTCGGCTGGGGCTCAGCGGAGATGAAAGGCCAAATTCTGAGGGTGCTGGTCTCTGTCGGTCCCAGGATATCGAGTGTGGGGAATGCCCTATGTGGGCCTCTTTAGGGAGTTTGCAAAGCGTTACATTTTGTGGCAGGAGAAGCTGCTCTTGAGTTAAGTCCTCTGAGGGGAGAAAGCAGGGCCAGCCCAGTCTCTACCTCCCAGAAGAGACTGGCTGGTTCTTTGTGGTTTTCAGCTTGACTTTCACAGCAGCGGGCACCCTGGAAAGAGCAGCTCCTGTTGCCAGGCCGGGGGCTGCCAGTCACAGTAACCGCCTGTGTGGGTTGGTGTGCTGCAGGTGTGGGAAGGGCGCTGGCGGGTGATTCCCTACGATGTGCTCCCGGACTGGCTGAAGGACAACGATTACCTCCTGCATGGACACCGACCTCCCATGCCGTCCTTCCGAGCCTGCTTCAAGAGCATCTTCCGAATACACACCGAGACGGGCAACATCTGGACTCACTTACTAGGTGACTGAGGGGAGTTGTGATGCTTGGGGTGATGGGCGTGCTGCCACAAGCATGCCCTGCCCAGGACAGAGCCCTGGCA